TGAAATTATTCTTGCCCATGCATAAAAACTGCATTGGACAATGCATAAAAACTCATTCAATAAGTGTAGTATGAAGGCAGCAAGCACAGATTTTGTATGTTTGAACACCAGAAACCTGTTGAAGAAAGATACACATACATGAAAATTCAATTTTAAAACTTGCTAGCTGAGTACATCACTAACATAAAATGGTGATATAAAACTAGTTTTAATTATGAAAACTTTCTTACTGACAGTTTTGATAAGTGGGTGTGCAGATTGAAATACTACATGATGTTTTATTTGTTGTATTATATTTTAAATATTTCGAATAACCAACTGTTTAATACATATAGCCCTAATATATATCACCTTACATATTTAGAATATCCTTACAATGAATGACTGATTACACAGAAACAAAAAAAAGTCGACGATCTAATATTTGCAATACATCTACATAACACAATGAATAATTACTAAATAACCCCCCCCCAAAAAAAAAACCCACCATCACGTTTCTAACAGGAAAAAAAAGCTAGAAAGATACTAAAATTATCATAACAATTAAATGTAGAAAAACATTTTTATACACCCCCCAAAAAAATCAAATATTGTTACATACATATTAAACTGGAAAGATGTATGAATGACTATGAAGCAAAATTTGGACATGTTATGTTTTCACAATTGAAGATTTCCACCAAGTGTGATTTTATCTTAATTTTCCCGGAACTGGATACAGATTCAGAAGTCCTTCCTGAGGTCCCTTCCCAGATGCTTCTTTAACAAAGAAACACTGCATACCCAAATTTTCCATTATTTCATTTAATCTTTAAAATAGAGTAAGCCTTCACTACTTTGATCTTCAAAACCACATGAGATAAAATAAAGGTAATATATTCAAATCATAATACATAAACCCATATACATCAAAATTTTATTCATAGTCTAGAAGATTCATTACAAAATGTATTAGCATACAGAATAACTTCCAAATATTATCCGTAAAATTTCTATATGATAAATATTGCTAATGTTTGTAAAAATAGATATTATAAAAATATACCTTAATCATACATTTTAACTATATTGCAAAATACACAGTAACAAACCCATAGGTTAAAATAACTACAAATGCATATGTTCTAAAATAGTTTTTTTAAAATTTTTTGATGACCTGTATTTCTGCACAAACTGCATAAATCTACATAAATATTCATCATTCACTTTTATTCAAAATTACAATTTTTCTCTTTTTCAGCTTTGATGAAAAGAATAAAATAATGTTGCCAATTTACAAAATAAACACTCTACTTATGTGACATGATAAACTCATCTGTTAAGTGTAAAATTTAGAAATAACCGGGAGCTCTTTATCTATTTGGTTTTTTGTAACCTTAATTTGTACACATATATTTTCACACTTTTTTATGCTCTGAAAAAAATCTAATCTTAAATTTACTGAAAGTATAATTATAAACATACAGCTACAAAGCATTACATTCTCTTACATTAATACTTACATCTTTCCAGCAATTTCTAAAATGTTTCACAATTACATGATTAATTATTACCAAGACTTCAATATTAAAAATTCATATTTAAAAAACAATAATTAACTCTTTCACTGTCCAGTATATACCCATGGTTTACTTAATCAATGTATCTTGTATATTTCACAATCAATTGTAGAAAAAGATAAGCTGATTCATTTTGTATCATTTCATCATACCTTTTCAGCATTTTGAAGATGAAATCTGTAGCCTTACAATAAATACATACAGAATACAGCAGAACTGACCAGATAATGTAAGACTGACAGCAAATGTATATATGCAGGTAAGACTGCATCCGTATTTAGAATAATTTAAATATCTATTAGTCACCACAGAACTTAAAATGATTAACCTTCCAGCACACGCGCGCTTGGCAATTTTACATGAGCACATGCGCGCGTCGTATTTTTATGACATCTGTTATTTTACCGTTTTTGGCATGAAAAATGACAGATATGAATGAATATTAATAATAACTTTATTAAAACATAAAATATTAACCTTATTATTGCAAAATACAAATGATGTCACATTTGAATGAAGTAAATTATTTTTAAACGCTTATATTAGTCAGGTGGAAAAGCAATGATGTATTTTATTATAGAAATTTTAAAATTTATTATTTAATAACTATATTTTAAAATCCAAGCTAGTTTTAATATTCATCTGTCCTGTACTGTTGATTTATCATCGAATCGATAACTTGTCAGAAATAAAAATCTCTTGTAGCTCATCACAGCTCTTGTTATTTCAATTCCAGTGAAGCCATCACTTGAGGACAATTCTTTTGCATTTACATGGTGTCCTTTTTTTATTCCTATGATATATAATCATCCAAAGTAGGCCATCATTTCTACTCAGGTAACAGTGCACTCTCTATCTCTTGAGTATTTTGGCTATTTATTTGTAGATTGCAAAATATCATCAAGAACATTTATATCAACTATTTTCAAAAACGTTCCTATTTCACCCTTTATATCCTTATCATGGAGTTTTAAGTCGGGTAACGCTCACAATATTCATCTTATTCGTCTTTGAGCAGTTTGCAGACTTCTGATTTTGCCACATAGAAGATTTATCCTTCCTAACATAGAATATATCATCATCCTTCCATTTTTCTATATCCTTATTACTATCATCATCTGAAATATATTGTTCAGATTTACTGCTGATATTATTTATTTTGATATTTTCTTCACTCATATCGCCATTATTCTTGCATCAAAAGGTTTCCTTGTCTTCTTTTTCTTTATCAGATAATTCTTGAAGAATGAGAGCAAAATCAGCTGGTTGCACATATTTTTTGCCATGAAAATCAATATAAAAATTATTGAGTCGAATTTATACAAATTAAAATAATACATGGCAATTAATAAAACAAATTACAAAATATTCGAGGAAAAAATACTTTCCGAATTTTCACCCACGTGCCTGTCGTAACTTTTACGAAGCTGCTGATACGTAGCGTAAAAGCCCAATTTAAAAAAAAAAAAAAAAAAAAAAAAAAAAAAAAAAAGGTCATTGGCACATTCCATGATGTGGGGAAGGTTTGAAAAGAGGATTAGAAATGACATTCAGACGTCTCAGCTGCGATATGCGAGAAGTGTGCATTAAAAACCGAATTTGTCGTTAATTTTTTGTGCATAGCGCGCGTGCTGGAAGGTTAAGCACCAGGCTTCTAAAAAAAAGGAAAGAAAATTATTACTCAGATCCTTGCGAGAAAGCAATCGCAGGATGTATCATGAAATATTTTGAGGGAAGGTATGTAGAACAGTTTCTTTCTTCCCATCTCTCTTCACGAATTTAGGTAGCACTTGAACACTAGAGCAGCTACAAAGTTCTGATACATTAATTTTCTTTAATTTGGGGAGCTATTTTAGGTTAATTGTCTTCCTCAAGAATGTTAAGATAGCGACAATCTCTGCAATCCAAAAAATGTAGAGAGGGTGAAAGTGGACTTCTAATAGAGTCCAAGATGCTCTTCTAGACATTTCTGCAGTTCTCAGTATGTCAGATAGAGGTGTTAAAATGTTACACTTAGATCTGATTTCCTATTCTTCCCAGAATTCAAATACCTAATGAATGACAACAGTTTCTTTTAAACTCAGTTACACAGGTTGAAACCTCTTTTAACACATGCACTTGTGCTAATCAGGTCTGGGAAACGAAAAAATTGCACTTGCTGCCTAACATTTCCACATGGGCAGTACAGCATTGACTCATTTCACTCTGCATTTTAGGATCATAATTTATTTGAAGAAACCAACAAAGCAGTTACTTTATGCTTGATGAATTTTTTCAATCTGAAGTATACACCTACAAAACAGCACATTCTTGCCCGATATGCTTTCAAAATGAAGGGCTGATATCTCATACAGAAATGAATTTCTCCCAGTCAGAGGCATCACAATAACACATACTTTACATAGCTTTAATAGCAAGATGGGTTGACACCTTATATGGAACGAATTTTAGCGAAACAGTTCCAAGAAATTTTCCAAAGACATATTATTTTCATATGGAGCTTATGTGACAGATGTTATTTTTAAGCAGCACTTATTGCAGCTGCTTTTTTACAAACTACACATTATAATAATCAAAAATAAATTACTAGTTCACAAATTTCATCCATTATAAACATTCTGCTATATCCCATCTAACCGCCGAAAAGAGAACTGCAAAATTCTAAAGAATCAGAAAATAGCAGGGAGAAACTAAAATCATATTACAAAAACAGGATTTAAATTAATTCATTAAGAAGAACCAAAAGATATGCAAGCAAGTAGACAGTATATGATTCTTTGATTAAGAAATAGTATGTGAAATGTTTGCATTAAAACAACTTGTCTTTGTTTTAACAAGAAATATTTAATAAGTCTCTTTAATTAAAACAAATATTTAAAATAAAATTCATACTTATTAAAAAGGAAGTATTATTAACTTTAATGGGATTCTAATAATTGTACAGAATTCTCATCATTTTCAAATGTTTTACTTCTGTTTCAATCTATCTAATATTTATGATAGAAAATGTTATTAATGTTTATGACAGAAAAGTAAAAGAACTCTAGAAAAATACTTATCACAGTAAAAAACTTCGATTGTTTTCTGCACTTTAAAATCCTGAATGATGTCTTTTTGCTGCTTTTTAAATTTCTAATTTGGACTTCTTAATATGATGCTGAAGATTGCATTGATCTTCTATTACATGTATAATCAAACCTGAATATCCTTGTAATACACTGAACTCCTGATTATGCATACACCAATTTCCCTTCTATCTACTGCCAGAAAGAGATTTCAAAGACTGATATTTCAAATCTCAATAAATGTTAACCTCAGTAAATTTCATTGCTAATATCTGGGATGAAGTTAAAAGCCTACTGTTAATTCCAAAAAACTAAAATCTGAAACTGCAAAGGAAGAAGGTTTTACCATTAAAAAAGTAATAATATTGAACGCTTTTTTTTTTTTTTTTTTTTTTAACATAGCAAACAATTTTAGCAGTACTAAATGATTTGAGGTCTAAGTAACAATGGCTAACAATAGATAATAATAACAGCAATCAAGTTCCAAGATATAGGAAAGTAGGAATGAAAATATCTTATTAGATAATGCAATGTTAATACTGCTAAGTTTCTTTTACATAAATCACATTGTGATAGTTAGCCGTCATTTATTCATGAATATATTTAATTTATTATGTTTTTACTGTAAGCATGTCTTTCTGATATTAAATTATTTGTGCAAACTTACCCTCTTTATTTTTGTACAATAAAATGGGTAAAAAAAAGGGGGGGGAGAATATGCAAGTAAATACAATATTTAGATTAGAAAAATGTTGCATATAATATTATGAAATAACTGGTCCACCTAATGTTTCGATGGTCATCAATGAGCCCAGCTCACATTCTAGTTATGCATCACAGTGGATGCAAACAAACAGGTTTGCATTATAAAATAATTATTATAGGCAGAAATGAGGTGTAATATCTCCCTATGAATTACTTTATACACCTGTTATTGTGTATGCATTAAACACCACCTTCATTTCTTAATCCATGCCATGTTAAACCATCAAGAGCAATGTATTCCCTCCCCCCCCCAGAGAACTGAATATAGAAGGTTGAATGGAGAACAGCAAACCATTTTGGCAATTTATGTTGCTTGAGTTTAATTGAAGTACACTTCCCTTAAAGACTACTAAAAACATTTGTGGAATATATGGCAACAATGCCTTTTGTGAAAGGACTGCACAAAGGCAGTACGCTCATTTAAAGAAGGAGCAGTATGACATGAAATATGTCCCACATCAGCAGTTTTCAATTGTGGTCTGCAGACCTGAAGTATTCCTCCCAAAGAAAAACTCACCATATTATACTACAGCTGAAAATCTCAAATTTTGGAAATTATATGTGGCAACTCCTCCCCTTTTTTTTACAAGACTGACATTTTAAGATATTTATTACTGGTTATCCTACCTTAGAACCAAAAGAAAAATTTAAAGCACTATAACTGCTTCTTAATAGCACACATCCAAACACAGAGAACAATACACAAATCGGCAGGCTCATCCATCTCATTAACACGAGTACTAATATTTACTTCATTTTTTAGTTTATAAGATAAAAATTATCCAAACTCTAATAGCCTCAAATTACTAAAACAAATAAAAATGTCTTTCTATTAACTTAATTACCTAATGACAATATCAAATTAAGTGAATTAATTAATGTTACTTTCACTTAATTTGATAATAATAATCAAGTTAATTTTAAAATATAAGCATATTGGCAATAACATATGGTATTCCATGCTTGATGATGACCACAACAAAAGCCAACATGAAGCCATCTCATGCATCATCACTCTTCTTGTGAACAATATCAACCCTCTATCTCCAAAATTCTCATGGATGATCAAAAATGGTACTTCAAGATCAGTGTTACAGAGGAAATATTAATTCAGAAAACACCTTGTGAAAAGTGGCATACATTTAGAGAAGACATTATTTCCATCTAGTAGGGTACAAAAGGACCATTCACTTTAAATGCTACACTATACTACAAACAACTTTATGAGACAATGGCAGAGAAACAACCAGTAAGATGCCCTTTAGTGGTTTTCTAGATCAATAATACTAGATTGCACATTGTAACCATGAAGAAAACAATCCTTCAGAAGTTGAGAGTGAGGTCTCATCAAATCCCCCCAATTTTCAAACTTGGCAACTTTAGATTATCATCTGTAATGTATACTGTCATAGCACATCTTTCTCCAACTATGCAGACCAGAACACTTAATGATTTCTTACACAGAAAATAGTGGAGTTTCATTGCAAAGGGAACAAGAAGTTCCGTAAATGATGGAAGACAAGACATAAATAATGGAAAACATTGCATTAATTATTAATTAATGTTCTGGAATTAATGTCTTCCTGAATTCATGGTTATTGATTAAATGAAAAGATAAGAAAATTTGAACACTACTCATTTAAAAAATGTAGAAATTTCTTACTTCCTTATTTTTAAAACACTAAATGCTTTAAAACACACTTATAAAACTTAGAATGTCAAACAAAGGAGCTTCACTTGCAAACTGAACATTCAGAACGAACTACACAAAATAAAACAGACTATTTCTAAGATTAGTACATTTTTACAAACATCACTAAGCAAAAATACGGAGTTCACTAAAAGACCTAGAAAACAAAGCAATTCAATTTTAATGCACTGAGAATGGAAGTTGCTTTGCAATAAGTTTTTAAAATGGAAGTTTTTAGAAAAGCTATTTGTGACTGTCTGACTTCAGCTCATGCAAGGGGATTCAAAGAACTTTTAATTTAATATTTTTATTAATCAAGTCAAAAAATTTAACTTATAATGAAAGATGAATATTAATATTTAATATATTTCATGAGAAGGGAGGAATAATTACACTGGTCTACAGTGAAGTATCAAAATTAGATTAACAACAGCTTATTATTATTTCAATTACATCCTGTTTTAAACAGCATACATACTGTATGTCATTTCTTGAAAGGCTCAGATGACTTAACTCTTTATTATAAACAGAGCTAGTTTTAAATTATGATTACTTTAAAAGGCATAGATGATTAGGAGTTCAATGCATTCAGACAGCAAAAAAGTTTTAAAACAAAACTGCCAATATTTAATTTTCACAGCATTTTAAAACTTCAGCCACACATCCTATCATTACAATAAAGTTGAAATTAAAGTTTCAAATGAAAAGAGAGCCCTACAGTAACAGCTGTAACTAGCAGATAACTGCTTAGCTATTTCTGATATGCAAATAATTACAGCATTTTAAAGACACCTAATGTATATTAAATAATATATTCCAGATTTAAAAAATTAATGTTGCAAAATGCACAGTGAAAACAAATTTAGAAACATTACATGTCAAAATGTCTAAATATTGCACAGTTTAATAATAAAATATGTGTACTCGTATCTTTATTTTCGTAATTTTTTTAACTAATCTGACAGAAAGAGAATATCATACAAACATGATCAAAATAATAACTTAAGTATAATATACAGCTGTAATTTACAAAATATACATACTATATAAAAATGTAGTATTTGTACTCACATTTGAATAATCTTTAGATGCTTCCATCTAAAGTGGATTATTAAGTAACAGTTTCAAAAAGAAACAATGTAATATTTACTCCTGTATATAATTTTAGAACATCATTTGAACCATTTTAAAGCTCTTACACACTAATAAACACTTTAGGAAAAGGCAGAATATAAAGAAATTGACAATCAGTAATTCAAATATTAATAGAAAAAAATGAATATTTTACTTGCATCGCTAACAGATACAGTAATTCATTGAGAGTGCTTCAGTATTCAGAGTTTTTTAAGAAGATATCCAATGCAGATGATTATTAGAAATTATTATTAGATTAGAAATTCAATTATATATTTTTTACACAAACCCCCTTTAAAAAAATTATTTTAACATAACTTTCATAAATTTACATGACTTTCTGGAATCTATTCCAGACACTGAATTAATACTACTAAAGGACTGAGAAAATACTTAGTTTAAAGACTAAATTTTAAATTTGTTTCATATGCTTTTCTCTACTTAAAAGCATACGGTCAATAAAAAATTGGCCCTCTATGGAAGAAATGTATAACAACTAAACAAATTCTCAAGTTTAACACAAAATTTCAATTATTATATAATTGAGCTTTAAAATTATAAAATAAATATATTCTTTACATGTGTTTTTCACAAGCTGACAGCATGCATGTCAGGATGAAACTGTAAATGCACTTAAATACAGGCACCAGAAAAACTGCATGTTACACAGCATACAGAGGATTGCATTTCATTATATAAAATGTAAGAAATGAGTAAATTCAGTTTTCAACAGGCATCACAGCTTCATTCATGAGCTCATCATCAATTTCATAAGATGGTCTGGTTAATGAATGATTGGAAGGTGTTCGGACTTGTGCAGGTGATTTCATTAAAGATGGCTGATTAACTGGAAAAGTACCAGGAGAGATTTCAGATTTATCAATTTTGTCTTCCAACACATTCAATACAATGTTACTATCCAAACGTGGACTGGACCATTTTTCATCAGGTGATATCTGAAGCCTCGGTGTATCTGGATAATCAATGACTAAACATTCTTCAGGGCTGCTATCTTCATCACTTGGTCCATTGGGCCGCTTTGATTGTTTTATAGGTTTTGATAAAGGAGCCACTGCTTTAATTTCCTCTGATGAAGTGACAATATTTGCATTTATAACAACATCATGTTTGCTTGAAGAAGAAACTTCAGCCTGAGTTTTTGCTTTACAATCAATTTCATTCATAGATATACAGTTTGTTTCATCAAGAATTATTTGTTCTTGATTTAATTTGATTGATGGATGCTGAATAGGCATGGGTTTAACATCACTACTGCTAGAGACCCATAAACCTTTGTCTTCTATTTCTATTTTCTTAATACTATCTACTTTTGAGTAATCTACAGCACCTGATGTAAACTCAGTTGACTTAGTACACATATTACTTTGTTCAGCTCCATTAGAAACTTCATTTTTGCGTTGACTAAGAAGCAATCGAAAAGCTCGTTCACCTTCAGATTCATCCACTGAAACCTCACGAGCTGGAGTCTGTCGAGGTGATTGACGAGAAGCTTCATCACCTCTTTTGACAATATTACCACCAGATGCCGAGCGATTAATATCACTTACAGGCTTACTCAAAGGTGGTGGTGGCATAAGGCTAGAAACAACATTCACTGTGCTAGTTGAAACTTTTTCTTTTGCTTCCATTGAAGCAATTTTTATATCTGCAAGTGAAATCAGTTTTTTATCACTTTTTTCTAATACCTTGATACCGGATCCTGTAACCTTATTCTGAGATGATGATGATGATGAGACATGCTTTGAAACTGATTTTGATAGATTGTTAACTGAACTCCCAGTTCTGGGAGACATGGCTGAAGACACACTTGATGGAGAAGAAGTCTTTTGTGATGATGTGCTATTTTGTTTGGGTTGACTATTACCAGTACTAGATACTTTTGTAGAAATATTAACATTTGATGAAGAATACATTTTTTTTGCTGCAGGAGAAAGATTACCACTTTTAGAAGGATTACTACTTCCAGATGAACTCGTAGCTTTTCCAACACTAGACGAACTGCTAGATGAGACTGTTGATGAACTTTTAGAAGATTGTTTAGATTTACTAGATTTAGAGCTACCATCACTAGATCGAGTTTTAGTAACAGTCAATTTTATGCCTTGTGAGCTCTGTTTTACTGTAAACTGATCTGAGCTAGAATATTTAGATTTGTTCTCATTTCCTTTAGAAAGTGTTAGGTTATCTCTAGACTCTTTACAATTATCTTTGCGATCTAACTTTGTTTCTTTTCGATCAATTAAGTCAGATCGAGTACTACTTTCATACTTAGCATTATCCATACCATCAGGTATAATATGTTGAGCATTGGTAGCAGTTACTCTTAATTTATCAATGACTGCACTTAAAGAGCTTTTACGAGAACGTAATGCAGACTTGTTAGCTTTTGAATTATTTGAACCAGCTTTTCCAGGAGGTGAGCCAGGATTCATTATTGCTGCCTGCATAATGAGAGAGTCTGATGATGGAAGAACTGACATATGAGTAGAAGTAGGTGATGTAATAGTAGTTTTTGAAATAATAGGCGTAAGTGTTAATGATGAAGATAAGGTGAAATTTTTTAACTTTAATGTTGCTGACTTAGTTTTGCTTGGAGAAGAGCGTCCACTTGAATGTAATGAGCCACTATTGCTACTTGAATTACTTTTACCACTAGAACTTTGTTTATGCTTGCTTTGAATTTTAACTGCAGTACCTGAACCTCTTTTTGAATCTGGTTCCAGATTTGGGATTTTTAAAGATGGTAAATGTGATGGCTTTGGTGGAGAAGATTTCACTGACTTTTCAGAACTACTTTTCGAGCCACTGCTTTTTGTAAAAGTGCCACCAGTACTGCTAACAGAGTTGCCTTTTTTAGAATGCACTAGAGATTTTGACTGAAAACTGGAACTTGATGTAACACTTGGGGATGTTTTGAGTGTGAATGGTCGTATAGGTGGAGAGGAATCAGAAGATGAAACCAATGTGGATGCTTCAGATGATGATGATGGTGGTGGCATTAGAGAAGAATCGATGTTTAAATGTACTGATTTCACAGGAGATCTTCCAGATGCACTATCAGAACTTTCGGCTTTTCGTCTTTTCCTCTCTTTTTTAGCATCACTTTTCTTCTTACCAGAGCTTTCAGAACCATCACCTGAGTTACTAGTCCTTTTCCCTTCTTTTTGCTTAACTTTTACTTCACTTTTGGAAATTTTATGACCATCACCAGTTTTAGCTATTTTTAGACTAGTGAATATTGGCGGAGAAGGGTGAGATGCAGTCGATTTGGATACCGCTACAGAAGTATCTTCTGAGTGACTATTTTCTGTTTCACTGAATGACTTTAGTGAGACATCACCAACACTACTTTCATCACTACTGTTATCCTGAACTTTCATAACAAGATCATTGCTTTCGGAAATCAAGTCATTTTTTTCTTTAGATTTTTTCTTTTTTGACTGTTTTTCACTAGAACTAAATTTTGAAGCAGTGCTACACTGGCTTGAGTCAATACTGAAAGAGCTTTCCTCATCCATATCAATATCACTGGTAACATTAGCAGAATCACAATAACTTGACTCGGCAGGAGCAAGAAAATCTTTATTGAATTCAAGAGCAGTATCTGATCCAAAGTACTGATTTTTTATTTGAGATAAATTTCGGATACTATCTGAATTATTAGGTGTACCACCTTCACTCATACGACTTGAGTCATTAGTACTTAAAATTTGACGAGACTGAAATTCATCATGAATTAAATAGCTATCAGTACTAGAAGATCTTTGCGGATAACCTGGAGACGGCTGTTCAGTTTTTATAAAAGATTCTACTGAACCCACATTTCGACTGAAATGCTGATCACTGGAAGGTAAGGATGCTGGTAAGCTACTGCATCCATCATATGCTATAGGACTATCACACATTTCTGGATCTGGCGTAGATCTATCTCTAGGGCAATCATCTTCACTTAATTTCCGCTTTGGACTTCTTCCCACAGATCCACCAGGGCTGCGGTTATCTTTCCTCTTTCTTTTACGAGTTTTACTACCCAAAGACAAATTACTACTAGAATTATCAGTTTGACCAAGAAAAGGGAAAGTAGAACTAGAGAGATTAGCAGAGGGCACATCACTAAGCATACTCATCAACATCATATTAGCAGGCCTTTTTTGTTGGTATTGATTTGAATTATTAGACTCTCCATTCTGTTGTGTATTTTGAATCACAGCATTTTTTGATCTTTCTAAGCTGGATGCATTGTCAGAATTAGATGCGTTATTTGAAGTTAGATCTGGTTCAGCATTATGTGCATTACTATTATCTGAAACAGAAGAATTGGAATGGCCAAAATTCTGCTCAGAATTTTGGCTTACAGATATATTTTTTGCAAAATTTCCTATATCATTTCCATCATTAGGCTTGTTACACATTCTGGAAGCCAAATTAGAAAAATCCCCACCTGAAAATGATGAGCCATTTGTAAGACTGTTTCCATAGTTAGGAATGTGAGAAAGATATGGTACAGAGCCACTACTAGTCACAGCTGCACAATACATGTCCCCCTGATTTGAAGATCTCATCAACTGCTGCTGACCTTGAGCTTTTCGAATGACAGCTCGCATTGTAATTGGAATTGATAAACATCTAGAAATTGAAAAGATAAAATATTATTAAACAAAATGTCTCAAATTTTCATATACACTACATAGAATTTTTAAAAATATTATTTTTTCACCTTTTCCATAAAATTCATACTTTCAGTCAAGTGATATTTCACTAAACATTCATCATATAACAAATTAGATTACCTTAATAAAAAATTATTTTTAAAGCAATATTTTTTTAATATTAACTTTCCATGATTTTACCAAGCAATAAAAGCCACATTATACAGAATTTTTGAAATTAATAATAGCACCTTACAGTGGGCTTTTGAGTAATTTTTCTGTGGACCTTAGTTCACCCTGAGAATAAAAAATATATAATTAAAAAATGTTCATAAAAATGGAATTCCACTGAAAAATTCATAACTGTGCTAAGCACAAAACAAGTTCAGGAAGCCTGCTTTGTGCAAAATATCAGATGAGAAGCTTTAGAATTTGAAAATAGAATTGGAAAAAGTGTTTTGTTCTGTGATATCTATCAATAATCAGATCCTGCCTTTTGCTCACTTTAAACTGATATGAGAAAATGCCAACTCATTTACAAATTTACATTGGAAACATTTACAGATGGATTATTAGAAATTCAGTGCAAATGAACACTTAAGCAAAAAGTCAGCGAAGTGGGTGCTCTTGATTTTTACGAATACTCGCATGCATGGGTCTCAGGAAACCACAAGTTTGCAAATGTTATTTCCATGTTCTGTAGTTATCAGAGGGCATAACTTTTCTCATCTAACCTTTTGCCTACTCGCAGGACATTATGTTCCACTAAAAGTTTAAAAATTATTACTGGGTTAAAAAGTACTTGGAATCTCTTGAATGTTGGGGATCATCTTAAAATACTTAGAAAATCAAGATGCCGCTGTGCTCATTGTACATATATGAACATATAGAAAAGAACAAATATGAATAGCCCAATGTGTAATGTTGGGTTATGTACCCTGTACCATCCGATGTAAAATCCTATCTCATATTATAAAGTTTTCCAGAATGATAGGTGTGCTTATAGCAAGTTGATCACTATGTGTGGGACATATGTATCCCACCATTAACTATGGCTGGGATATATGTGTCCCAACCTTTGGCTTGAAAACCATTTGTCAAAAAAATTCCAGATGCTAAATTTACGTTATTTATGACATATTTTGTTCACTTGGATAGAAGGCGAGGTAATTTTTTAAAAAAATTATAGTCAAAGGGTTAAGAATAGAAACAAGCCCCAGCAGAATCCAGACTGAAAATTATGCGTCTCCTGTTCCGGAAATTGCTAGTGAAAGCAGGATGTCTCCAGACATCCAAAAAAGCAGGTTTAGGAAAAAAAGATGCTAGGTGTTTGGAAGAGAAACAATATGTATCTATCTACTATTTGAATTTCCCGCTTTTTTTTTTAAGGTTACAGTTAATTAAAAATTATCCAACCTATTGCAAACAAAGAGTTATATTACATACTGAAAATTTCCTGCCGCCACAAATAACATCTGTGCTGACAGTTTGCCTTGGCGTGTTTAATATTTTCTCAAACGATTTTTGGTATTTGAATGAAAGAGACTGGCTTTAGAACGCTGTGTTGTGAAATTTATAAAAAATATTGTTCTCATTAAGTATAAGGTATCTGAAATGGAACTATCAAAACGATTTTTGGCATTTGAAAGAAAGAGACTGGCTTTAGTCTTTAGAACACTTTGAAATTTGTAAAAAAATATTGTTATCATTAGATACAAGGTGTCTGAAATGGAACCATCACACTACCAGATTACAATTATTTACTTCTACTTCTGTTGCAAAAAGTCAGCAACAGAATGTCATTAAATCATGTGTACAGCTTTAGGTAGGTTGCATCACATCATACTGTGAAAGTTTAGTAGAAAGTTCAAAAACAAGGACTATGACATTCAAGAAACAAAGTGCTCTGGCCCGCCTACTGATGTTGATGAAGCCTGCCTGTGAGAACTTGTGGAGAAAACAGTATGACACCACTCGAGAGCTTGCTAAGGAGTTAGATGTTAGTGCCATCTTCATTAGCTATGCTATGCTTCGCATAAACTTGATGTATAAGCTCAACAGCTGGGTGCCCCATGAGCTGACTCAAGCAGATAAGGACAAACATATTCAGACCTGCACTAATCTGCTTGAATATCAATGCAAGGACAAAATTCTGGACCAGATTGTCACTTGCGATGAAAAGTGGATTTACTTTAACAACACAAGCTAAAAAGGGGTTTGGTCTGCACCTAGTGAGCCCTTTGGAAGCGTTGCAAAATGCAGTTTGACTAACAAAAACACAGAAACTGTATCTGGTATCTGGTATTTGTATCTGGTAGCATTGCCTTGGTGTTATCCACAAAGAGCATACAGAAAGAGATAAAAACCCTTGGCAGTAAGATGTGTACAGCGAAATGCTAGTCTGTGTTGATGCTGCTATCAAGAGAAAACTTCGAACTGAGTTCCACCAAAACATTGGCAGAAAATCATAGATTTGGGTGGTGATTACTACCTGCACTAAACATTCTGTTTTCATGTTTCTTTTTCCCTAACTATATTAAGAAAATTTTTTGGTGGTAAACTTTCATTAAAACTAGTATTATAGTAGTTAAAATTTTGTGTATTTACTTATTTCTTAAATATGAATAAATATGAATAATATTTCTTAAATATGAAATAAGTGTGAAAAACATCTTTTTTATTTCTTGCAGTCTGCACTACTGGTCCACTTGAGATACTGAGTTTGACATGCCTGTCAAGTATTCAGATATTTGAAAAATTGTCTTTACTTAAGATGCTACACAAAAATCTAGTACTGGCAAAAAAATCTTCAAAAAGGATGAATATACATTTATGGAAATTATGAAGAGGAATGTGACACCAAATTTTCAGAACAAAAGAAAAAGCAATATAGAATAATAAACTTATGGAATGCATTTTAATTTTTAAAATAATAAATATTTAAATATATGTTTCAAGACATGAAATATAATCTGAAAATACTTTCATTTATACTGAAAATGAAATAATAATCAAAATGATAATAAATAACAGCACATTCTGTGATTTTTAAAACTCTTGTGTGTCATAATTTGAAATACTACAAACCTTTGCATAATTTTACTTGCATATTCATCAGTGCACATTGTAGCATCACTGCTTAATGTATAGATTTTACATTTCACATTAGTGATATCTCTCAAATCCAAATCCACTAAAAAAAAATTGCATATATATATATATATATACACATTGCAATATATTGTTAAACGATTTCTCATGAAATGAATCAAAATTAATGCAAAAATCATTACAAGAAAAACTTCAATACTTTAGGAATACAATACAAAAGAAAGTGAACAGCAAACAGCACACAAATTACTAAATAACTTAAAATTTACGTGCATAATTTTTAAGTATTAAGAATTAAATTTTTTTTGTTATAGAATATATATATTCAGCTACAATCTGCAAGGAATTAGAAGGCATTATTTGGTGTGATCAAAAAGTATTGTTACGAATTTTGCATTTAGATATTTTTAATAGAATTATAATTACAATTGTTTTACTTCCCCGTGCAATGCAGCGCGTGATGTAAGAGAAAGCTACGGTGGAAAATTAAAAATACAAAAGCACATGCATAACATTGAATAAAAGTTTATCTCAGTAATTTATATTTAATTTGAATAAATGTAATTGACAAATGTGTTAGCTGTAACTGTAATTCTACTCTATTTGCTTTCCAGAAATTGCTAGAACTATCTCGTGCCCCCGATTTAAAAAGCTATAAAAGCCAGAAAGAAACATCTCATCTCAGTTGTTTAGATAACTGCTATTTGTTGATTGTAGCGAAGCCGCGGTGAGATCCGAATAGGTTTCTCTGTGCTTTGGATTGCGTTCTATTTAATCTTTTAGTAGTTTAGAATATAGCTACTTATTATATGTATGATATTGTGATACTGTGCGAATATCTTTGGGGAAAAATCCAGAGTTTGGCTATATTTGTGGTAAGCAAAAAATTTATTGAATTTTTATCGGACTTGTGCATTCAATCTATTATGAATCCATATGCATGCAACATGCACATTGTTTTGGTGTCAGAAGTGGGATTGAATGCCAAATCACAAGAGCGATGAAGGAGCAGTTAAGACAGCTCATGATAGCTTTGCTGCATTTAAAGAAGAAATGAAAGATTTAGTTAAAGAAGAGATGAAACCTCTTACACAAGAAATGAAAGCGGGCCAAGTAAAGATGAAAGGCTGGCCATGAATATATTCAAGAAAAGATGGAAGCTAGTCAAGAATCAGTGAAAGCAGAGATGAAAGCCGTTACAGATGAGATGAAGGCTGTTAAAGAAGAAATGAAATGAAATGCGCTAAGCAGAAATGAAAAGAGAAATCACCTGCATAATAGAAAGCAAATCAAGCTATGGAAGACATAATTGATACGGATGAAAACAGACCTGGAGTAATTGAAGAAACAGTTTCTGCAATTCAACAACAAATGGAACAACAAATTGATAACAGAGTTTCTGCAGTCAGCAAAGAAGTTGATGCCTTTAAGAAATTCGTAGCAATGGCAGGGAGCAATTATGATGGTTTTAAATTTTTACCCATGCCTGCTCGTCCTTTCCTGAAGTTATCCACATATGATGGGAAGACCTCTTGGCAAGCGTATAAGACAATTTTCAATAATGGCAGAAGTGAACAGATGGGATTCCCAAGCTAAGGCCTGTCATCTCACTCTGTCATTCTCTGAGAGCAGACACAGCAGATATCCTTTAAACTCTCCCAGAAGACCAAAGGCTAGATTTTGAAGCTCTATCCGGCAAATTGGAGCTGCGCTTTGGGGAGAAATGTTTGAAAGACTACAGTAGGCTTCAATTAAAATTTCGTCAACAAAAGCCCAAAGGTGCTGCTGAAATCATACTAGGGTGGAAGAGATACACCAGACAACCATCTATTCGCCATCCCAAATGTCATCGGTCGTTACCTTCTGCTTGGTTGCTCTTTCCAAGATCTCCAGGCACGGTTTGAAGAGATGCACAATTCTGCCCGAGAGCGAGTCAACTTGGCGATGGAGAAGATGAAGACCCAATATGACACGAGAGCTACTGGACATCGATTCAATGAAGGACACAAGGTGTGGTTGTGGAATCCGACTCGAAGGAAAGGACTCTGTCCTAAACTACAGTCACCTTGGTATGGTCCTTGCACAATCCTAAACAGGCTGAATGGCATCATGGTTCAGATCTGTACGTCATCGAACTCTAAGCCTAAAGTCATTCATTACGACAGGTTAGCTCCTTACTATGGCCATAGTACATACTGTGTATAATGTAAATAGCATAAGACCATGGTCCTTTTGTTTCTAATTTTGTATTTGATTTGATTTATATTTAGTATTTGATAGTACTTGATTTGTTTTAGTTACTTATTGCAATTATTATTTATGTTGTTTGTAATGTAATTTTTACTATTGCATTTTTGGCTTAGTTGTAAGTTTGGCTTCCTGTCCAAGGACTGTACTGCCCTGAAAGGGGGCAGTGTTACGAATTTTGCATTTAGTTAGATATTTTCAATAGAATTATAATTAAAATTGTTTTATTTTCCTATGTAATGCAGCGCATGATGCGTTTTAAGAGAAAGCTACGCTGGAAAATTAAAAATACAAGAGCATGTGCATTTAACATTGAATAAAAGTTTATCTTGGTAATTTATATTTAATTCGAATAAATGTAATTAACTAGTGTGTTAGCTGTAACCATAATTCTACTCTTTTTGCTTTCCAGAAATTGCTAGAACTATCTCGTGCGGCTGATTTAAGAAGTTAACATCTCAGCTCAGTTGTTGTTTAGATAATTGTTGTTTGTTGATTGTTCCAAATTCATGTTAAGATAGGATTAGCTTTCTGTGCACTTTGGATTGAGTTCTATTTAATGTTTGTGTAGTTTAAAATATCTACTGATTATATTGTGTGATATTGTACAAATATCTTTGAGGAAATATCCAGCAGTTTGCTATATTTCTTGTGGTAAGAATAAACTTTAACTTTCTATTGGATTTGTGCATTCAATCCATTACAGACCTGTATGCACACAACAATATTCCTCTCTTAAACCCGATACTTATTAGTTAAATTTCACATACAATATTTAGCATTTGTTACACAAATTCTCAGGTGACAGTCATGTATATAATGTATGCAACGAACGAGTTGCAGGGAGATGTAAGAGCTCAATCATTAAACATTTCAGCATTTACTCAAGCAATTTAACAAAACCAGAGCATTCTATGTTAGCAGTCATAATTCAAGGTGTATGAGAAGGTCAGAACTCCCAAAACCAAATAGGCCATTATATGGCTCTATTCATGAATTCACTTTTATTAACAGCAAGATCTATTGAATCAAATAACATTCTGATGTCATGAGTCGCTAAATTGGCTATTTTGGTATTTTTATTGCCTATCATTAAATCTGATCTTTTAAATTTAGTGCCAGCTGTTAAATATAAAGGCAAGTTCATGAGCAGCTTTAATTAAAATAATGGCTGTTGTTACAAATAAAATGGTTGATGCATTTGTATTTGAGGTAGAATTAAATAGTATTCTATAGAAATTCTTGCTATTCTGTTATACAAAAAACTTTTCAAAGGCTCAGGAAATACTCCTAATTTATCAAAATATATTTTTCATATTAAAAAAAAAATTGTTTTTTAAGAATGCTTACTCCTTTAAATTATAGCATACTTATGTGAATACTTATCTCAGATGGAGAAACATAACTGGAAAAATTCAAGCTACATTATAAAACTTAATGAAATTTATTTGAAAGAAGACTTTTTAAAACTTACCTGACATATGTATGTATATGTTACACTTTAAAAAGCCTGATTTATCAGATTCTAAATGTTACATTCATAATATTTTTTATTTTACTTTAATACTCCCTATATCTAAATTATTATCATTTTAAGATATTACCCAGACTACTCCATACTTTAAATGCATGCACTGATTTTAATATGAATCAGAAAAGCTAGAGAGCTGTATTTGGCATTAAAATTAATTTCATAAATTTCCTGTATCATGTCTTTTTCACATGTTTCTAATGCTACACTTATTATTCTATGAAATTCTGAATTATCCTATATTTCAGTCTGTCACAAGAATTACGTTTTTCCATGCATATTAAGTCTACCTTTTCATCTCCTGTGCTGTAGTTACGCTTGAATTTTTCTGATACTGACTCAGTTCCATAGGCGGTCGGTGATTTTATCTTTGGTAACTGATTAGTTACCTTCGAGTAAGAAAAAATGTTCTTTTTCAGGACACAGGGAGACGAAACGGACAATGGTGAGCTCAGCGAAATGAGTTCAGTTCGCTCACATCAAACGAATAGGACTTTCCTTCTAAGAAAGGAGGATTTTTTACGTTCACCTAAGGACAAAAGGAATAAGAAGAAGCGGACCAAAACGAATTCGGAGCCTTTGGATGTAAACAGCGTGTTAGAGAAAATCCATTCGAGGAAATTTCGTCTTTGGCTGGATGATGATGAACATATTGTGAGCCTGGTTGAACAGATTAAGAAGCAGGACAAAAAAGAATTGCAAAACAGATGACGGGTCACTTAGACCAAGTCATGTTGAAGCAAGCTGTCGAGATAATTGAAGAATAAAAGGAAATGAAGAAACAAGGGAAAAAAAAAAAAGGAAAAGTGCTAAAAATACTGAAGGCAAGTGGATCTCACTGAAGAAGATGGCAAAACCTACTTGAAAAGACGAGCCGATGGAAGTTTCAAAAGCAGATAGGTTTGAGGAGCTTGATTCTTATGAAAAGCAAGAAGAAGGATTAGCCGGCGAAACGGAAGCAGTGCCCCCACCCATACTTTTCCAGCAACATGCAGTTGATTGGTTGAAAGTGCACAAACTGCTAACAGAAAATTGTGAAGAAGAGTTTGAAGCCGAAATGAAGTTTAGATCCGTCTACGTAAATATGAAGAGTGTTTCTGACTACAGAAAAGCTACAGCAGCCCTGAAAAAGAAAGAAATACCACATCACTCCTTTCAGTTAATGAGTGATAAACCGCTGTGTGTGGTGACTGCCCAACACCACTCTAAAATATATTACAAGAATACAATAAATACTGAAGAACCTGCCCAACACAGTGACTGAAAAAGCCATAAAGACTGATCTGGAAAGACGTAAGTTTCCC